GCCAGGACAATGCCACCAAACAAATATCCCACTAAGACAATCTTGCACACATATTCACCCACCAAAGGCCCCCTTACCTGAGCTTTCTTGCTCTTGCTTAGTGCCTAAAAGGAAGGGTGGAAGAGAGCTAAAGTGAAGAGCAATGGACCCCTCCGTGGGATATGGAAACTAATGTGGCAGGGGTTACGAGGGGGCAATGATGTGTTGTGGGATGGAAATATGTTTAAACATAGAACATTCATAACAGTTGGAAGCCCACAGAAATAACAGAAGAAAAGAATGAAGAATGATTGGGATTTCTGGTGTCTTGGTGCCACAGCACTTCAAAAAAATTCTTCCTTTCTTCCATGTTTTTGAGGGAGAGGGGGAAATGGTGTCTTAGATGTTAACCCTTTATATACTGGATCTCCAAGCTAGTAAATTGTGGCTTCATCCCTACATCTGTTCAAACACATCAAGGTGCTTCTCTCTCATGTAACATAGCAACTTCTGTCCCTCTGCTTGGCACCTAAGAATATTGTCAGGCTGTGGAAATCAACCCCCTGCCAAGAACTCCAGTTTCCTGACTGCCGGATTGTCTGAATTCTGTATAACTCACCCAACAAGTTTCATTTTAATAAAAAATTTTAATAAAACAAAATTGTACTTATTTATTATTAATTATTATTACTGTGTGTGTAGGTGTGTGCACACACACACTTGAGTGACACAGCTTACACATGGAAGTCAGAAGATAACTTCATGCCTCTCAGTTCCCCTTCCACATTTTTTAAAATTTGTGTGTATGGGTGCATGCAGTGCTCTTGAAAACCAGAAGAGGGCATCATATCTCCTGGGAGTGGAGTTAGAGCCAGGTTTGAGAGATGCCATCCATCTGAGTGCTGGGGATGGAACTCAGGTTCTGATGCAAGAGCAGTCAGTGCTCTTAACCACTGAGCTCCAGCCCCTCATCCAACAAGTAGTCAGCCTGAACTATATGCAACATAGCACTATACATGAGGATAGAGCAATGAAGAAGAATAAAAATAAGGATCTAGAATATCTCAAGGGACCACACTAGGCTATATTCTACCTTATTTTTAAAGAATCTGAAAGGTGGGTTTGGTCTCATGTTACCAACAGGACCAGGACACGTAGGTGCATAAAGAGGCAGTGTGAGTGCAAGATAGGAGGTAGACTCAAGGCAGATTTACTGATAGACTTGACTAATCAAAAGTTAATGAATGAAGCCACGTGTGGTATACATGCCTACAGATCCAGCTACTCAAGAGGTTGAGGAAGGAGGCCAATGTGAGGCCAGAAATTTGGGAGCAGCCTGGAAAACAGCTAGATTCCCCTTTCAAGACAAAGTTAGTGAACGAAGGCTGGAGATGTAGCGCAGGAGAAAAGACAGCTTGGAGCCAGGTGTGGTGGCAGACCCCTGTAATCCCAGTACTTGGGAGTTGGAGACAGGAGAATGAGGAAAGGAGGATCAGGAGTTCAAGGCCATCTTCAGCTACCTAGCAAGCACAAGGGCAGCCCAGGCTTCAAGAGACCCTGTCTCATAAACAACAAAAAGATCACTTTTGAGCCTTTTGGTTAAAAGCAAATATGGAGAGCTTGCCTAGCATGCATGAGATCCTAGGTTTGATCTGTAGCACCACTCAAGAGATTTAGTGAATGAAAATGAATAAGCAATTGATATTAGAATGAATTAAGAATAATTTTTTAAAAAAATCAATAGATTAAGCAAAGCCAGGCATATCAGCACACACCTATCACCCCAGCACTTGGGAGGCTGAGGGAGGACAACCAAGAGTTTAAGGCCAGTCTGGGCTACACAGCAAGATCCTGTCTCAAAAGAAACACACACAAAAATTAAATAAGCAAGATTGATTAAAATTAGCAAACTGAAGAGACTTCTGTGGAAAAAAAATTCCAATGACTATAAGAAAGCGGCATGTGTCATTAGGTCTGGTTCAGTGTAGGTGTTCACTGGGAGATAAATGAGTCAGATGGATAGAGGGAAGCAAGAGGTGGGTGGATGGGTAGGTGGAGGGAGGTACCTTCTGAGCTTTAGTGAACTCCTTATCCAGGTAGGCGACCTTCTGCCGAAGACTGGCAAGTTCTGGTGCAGGGAAAGCAGGGAATCTCAGCCTCAGGTGGTAACAAGGAACTGAAGGGTCATCTTATCAGGCCTCTAAAGGAAAAATCTCTGCCTCTAGTCCCCCAAAACCACCCCATCTAATGAGACTCTCTTGGCTCACCAACACCATTCTTCCGAAGTTCATCTGAAAGCTGGTAGTTATTTGTCCGGAGTTCCAGGAGCTGGGTCTTTGGGAGAAACCAAGAAACAAAAAGATTTATCAGGAAGGCATTCCTTACCCACACATGAGGCAACCACGCCCATAAGCTCCAAAGACTGGACTGGTACCCCCGAGGTTTTTCCTTAATTGCTTACCTTGTCCCGCTCCATTCCCACTACAGCCAGCCTCCCCACTCCATGGCCCCACTAATTCACTTCACGCCACTGAAAGGTATTGGCATATTGAAGGGAACTGGAATAGTCGAGCTCCTGTTTATATGTATTCCCGTGACTCAATACATGCAGGATAAAATCATCTTGACTGACCTCTTAACACCCTGAACACTGCCCTGGTCAGACCCTGGAAGCCCCTTTGGCAGAAGGCCTACAAAACTCTTTCTCAAGGAAAGAGAATCTGGTCTTTCTTTCTCCTTCTCAACTTTCATGAGTCAGGGTATTCCCCCAAGGTCCCGCAGCACTCCTAAGGTTTTCAAAACATGTTAGAGTCCACTTAAGTCAAGAAATAAGGGAAAATGCAGCCTGGGGCACTGAGCCCTGAAGCTGATTCTTCCTAGAAGCACCCACTGACCCCCTCCCCCTACTCTTATGTCTTTCTCAAAGCACCAGCCTCCACATCTCTCACCACAATGGTTTGGTCCAGATCAGAAGGCTGGCCTGGCTATTACAGGATCTTTCTTGTCCCATTCTCCCCAGGACTCAGATAGCCTCTCTCCTAATTCTATGCCAACTGCCAACCTTTCTTTCTCTCTCTCTTTCTTTCTTTCTTTTCTTTTCTTTTCTTTTCTTTTCTTTCTTTTTTTTTTTTTGAGACAGGGTTTCTCTGTAGCTTTGGAGCCTGTCCTGGAACTAGCGCTTGTAGACCAAGCTGGCCTCAAACTCACAAAGATCCACCTGCCTCTGCCTCTGCCTCCCAAGTGCTGGGATTAAATGTGTGCGCCACCACCCACCTTGAAGTTCCTCTCCAAAAGAGCCCAATGTTTTTTTCTCACACATGACCCAATGGGATAAGTCTTCCTTGTTTAAATATCTACCCACTCTTCACAAGATGCCTTTAGGCATGATCCAAAAAAAAAAAAAAACAGTGACACTATGTCCCTCCAGAGTCTCTCTCAAATACCCTTGAGCAGGCCAGTTGAAATAATCTTATTCAACATCTTCTGTAATTTACACTGCTCCTCCCCATTTATGGTCTAGTGGTCTCATTCTTTTTTTGGTATATTAAATATTAAAACTTTATTAAACAATAACACCCATACAACTGTAGCTGAATTGTTTAAATAGGATGCTGGCCCAGCCATATCAGAGATATATATGCTATAAACATTATTTTGAAAACATGCAATTAGTTGGTCAGACTTAACCTGTGTAATATCACATGAAAGTCATTATAGAATAAGCAATAAATATTACTTAGTATAAAGTTTATTCACATGTATAAAAGTCTGAAATGTTATGGATGACATGCTATTAGAAATGTCACATATTTCTGTAATTTTTTTAAAGATTAGATTTTTGGAGACAGGCATGGGGACATACACCAGAAATACCAGTACTTAGGAAGCTAAGGGAAAAAGATTAATGCAGCTTCCAGGCCAACCTTGACTACAGAATGAGACTCTGTCTCAAACAAAGGGATGAAGGAAGGAAAGAAACAAAGAAACAGTGGTCTCATTCTTACATCTTTAGTGACCCTCAGCAGGTCAACTAGCTCCCGGGCCAATAGAATTACTTCTACTCCCTCAACCAACAGGACTCTAGGGTTTCCCCATTTCAGCCTTTCCCACTAAGGCTCTCTTTCAAAGTGTTCCTTCATTGTGCAGTGCTACCACTCCCTCTCTGAGTGCCCCTTAAAAGAATCAACAGGTCTGTGAACCTGGTCAGACTTCTCCCCAAAACCCAGTGATGTTCCCCTCCCTGAAATTCCAAAGTATTATTCTTTTATATCCGCTAGTTGGTCCCCTAATATGGGTTAATGGTATTACCCACTCAGAATAGTCTTCACCCCAGATCTAAAGGAATCACCCCAATCGATGCAACTATCCCCCCTACCTCTTAGGATCCTCTACCACCAACGGCACAGCAACTCTAGGGAATAGATCCACGGTTTTTCCTATTCCCCTGGCCTAGTGGTATCTCCCTCAAACTTTCCACCTCCCACCAGTTCATGGTCTTGCCCTGTCAAATCATCCCCCACCCCCACACACACATGACGCAAAAAGCCAGATGCCTGCTTCCTTTCTCTCCAGACAAAATAATTTCTCCTTCTCAGGCTCTCCATCCTTCAAAGTCAAACATCATCACCAGTTAATGGTATGCCCTACACATGAGTACAAAGGTTTCGCCCGCACCCCGGACTGAGAAACGTATCGCCTACTTAAATACGTTCTACCAACCCCACAAAGCTAATAGAATCTAACCTTCAGAACCCACATAGAAATCTTCGAAGTCAATAGGGTCGCCACTCAAAGCCTCAGCTTCCCTTCTCCAGACCACCCCCTTATACTCAAGGCCCATCCCAACCTCAGAGCCTATAGTACGACCTCCTTCTACCCCGCCCCCAGTCTCCTAGCCGGGTGGTCTTTCCCCACGTCGAGCGGCACCTGCATCCGTTGAAACTCCTCTTCAGACAGAGCTTGCGCCATGTTCCTCCCCCCCCCGCCCCCCGCAAGCGTTATGCGCAAGCGCAGCTAGTGCGGCCTGTCAGTGCTAAGGTCGGAGCGAACCACTGACCAGGAATGGGGGAGGGAACGTAATCAAATGTTCAACGTTTCAGAGACAGAGAGAAGAAAATGATGCTTAAAGGTCAGGCAAATTTTGTTTTGATGTTTCACCAAATTGTCAATTGTCTGTTATGGCTTTTGAGCACTTACAGATTACTCATTGTTATGTGATATTATGGTATCTCTGTATCATGGGTGGACTTGTCCGTAGGGAAGTAGTCCTCCGACAGAAAAAAAAAAATCACCCTTCCGCGATGCTCCTTTAAGAAGAAAGGGACTTAATAACCATGAAAATGAAAGCGGAAGCTTCCTGTGGTCCTTGTTCCGGCCCTCCTCCGGGTGACCCCAAAGGGGAATCCCGCCTCACGTGAAGACCTTGACCACTTACCCCTCATTTTTTTAAAGATCTGACAATGGTTTTATTATCAGAGCGCTGGATATCATATTAGGGAAACGATGTAGTCATTGATAAGCTAAAAGTTTGCGAGAAGAGACAACAGCAGTTAATAAAAAAGACCCAGAAAACTCCATTAAAAATAAAAACAAAAACTAGCTCCGTGGACGAGAGTTTGGCAGCATAACCAAGGTTCTGGTTTTGATCCCCAACACAGAAACCAAAACAGAACCAAGTATTTAAATGTGTCCTAACCGGTTACTCTCTGATCTAAAAGAAAAGGTCACTCAGTGTAGTTGCATTATTTTCTCATAGAAATGAAATTATTTTCCTGCTTCGGGAAATATAGTCAGTAGGGTTTGTGTAATTTGGAGGATTTTATTGATATATGCTGTCTGTCTCTATATAAACACGACCATTTAAAGGATACCATCCTACGACTTTTGAGACACCTATGTCCCCACAATACAGGGAGAACACTTCCATCACACCTTAAAGGGTCTTTTGTGTCACATCACGGTCCACCCCCCCACCCCACCCCCTCCTCAGCCAGAGAAACATTGTTTACATTTGACTGTTGCAGAAAGAATTTCACACAAGTAGAATGAGATACTATGTACTTTGTATCTCTTTATTTTTCACTCATTTACGTTTTGGGATTCATCCAAGTTGTAGTATCAGATTGTTTTCTTTTGTTAGTGGGTAGGATTTCCTAGTATACATATGCCACAACTTGCTTATCGATTCTTTTAGTGTGACTTAAGTCGTGTTTTTGCTATAAATGAGAATGATTATCTTTTTCATATGTTTATAAAGACTATTAATATTGTGTGTGTGTGTGTGTTGCTGGGGATCAACCTAAGGACTCTTGCATGCAGGCAAGTGCTCCATTTCTGAGCTGGATCTCCAGGCATTAATATCATATTTTGAAGCAAAGTTTGAGATTATTAAGAAACAGATTTAACATAGGTTTAAGCACACACACACACACACACACACACAAACACACACACACACACACAGAGAGAGAGAGAGAGAGAGAGAGATGAGATGAGATGAGATGAGAAAATGGCTAGGAAAGGGATAGTACACTTCCAAAACATGGGTATGGACTTCTCAAGAGAAATTAGTGGGGTTTTTATTGTGTTGTCATTGTTTGCTTGGTTTTGGACAGTGATGAAAATCAAACTCTTAGATGTGTGCCTGCGAAATAGCATCTGCCACTACACTACACACACACACACACACACACACACACACACACGATCCCATGCTACAGAGTGTGGCCATTTTTTAAATTTATTTATTCATTTATTTATAAAAAATTTTCACTTCCTCCCCTCCTCCCAATACCCTCCCTCTCCCCCCCACTCCCTCTCCTCCTCCCTCTCCAGTCCCAAGAGCAGTCAGGGCCTCCTGCCCCGCTGGGAGTCCAAGTTCCTCCCCCCTCCCTCCAGGTCCAGGAAGGTGAGCATCTAAACAGACCAGCATCCCAGAAAGCCAGCACATGCAGACGAAACAAGACCCAGCGCCATTGTCAATGGCCTCCCAGTCAGCCCCCATGTCAGCCACATTCAGAAAATCCAGCCCGATCACATGCTCGTTCAGTCCCAGTCCAGCTGGCCCTGGTGAGCTCCCACCAGGCCAGTCCCCTTGTATCAGTGGGTGAACGCACCCCTCGAGGTCCTGACTTTCTTTTTCATGTTCTCCCTCCTTCAGCTCCTCATTTGGACCTTGGGGGCTCAGTCCAGTGCTCCAATGTGGGTCTCCGTCTCTATCTCCATCCATCGTCGGATGAAGGTTCCCTCCGATTCTGCCTTCCTTTCTCACGCCCTCCCTCCATCTGCTTCTCATTTGGACCTAGGGAGTTAAGTCCAGTGTTCCAATGTGTGTCTCTGTCTCTATCTCCATCCATCGCCAGATGAAGGTTCTATGGTGATATGCAAAATATTCATCAGTATGGTTATGGGCTAAGGCCAGTTCAGGCACTCTCTCCTCCGCTGCCCAGGGAACAATCTGGGAACCTCTCCTTGGGTCTGGGAACCCCTCCAGAATCATGTCTCTTGCAAACCCCAAAATGGCTCCCTCAGTTGAGATACACACCTCCCCGCTCCCACATCCATCCTTCCTCCCTCCCCCATCCCATTCCCCCAAGCCATCCCCAATCCTCCCCCTCTCCCTTCTCTCCAACCATCTCCCCTTACTTCCACCCCCCCAAGCCCTGTGCACCCAAGGTTGCCTGGCACTCTTGTCTACTTCCAATATCCAGGAGGATAACTACATAATTTTCTTCAGGTTCACCTTCTTATTTAGCTTCTCTAGGATCACAAATAATAGGCTCAAAGACCTTTAATTATGGCTAGAATCCACTTATGAGTGAGTACATACCATGCTCCTCTTTTTGGGTCTGGGTTACCTCACTCAGTAAAGCGTTTTCTATTTCCATCCATTTGTATGCAAAATTCAAGATGTCATTGTTTTTTACCACTAGGTAAAACTCTAAAGTGTATATGTGACACACCTTCTTTAATCATTCTTCTGAGGGGCACCTAGGTTGTTTCCATGTTCTGGCTATTACAAATAGTGCAGCTATGAACATAGTTGAACAAATGTTTTTGTAGTATGATAGGGCATCTCTTGGGTATATTCCCAAGAGTGGAATTGCTGGGTCCTGAGGGAGGTTGACTCCCAGTTTCCTGAGGAACCGCCACACTGATTTCCACAGTGGCTGCACAAGTTTGCATTCCCACCAACAATGGATGAGTGTTCCCCTCACTCCACATCCTCTCCAGCATAAGCTATCATTAGTGTTTTTGAGTTTAGCTATTCTGACAGGTGTAAGATGGTATCTCAAAGTTGTTTTGATTTGCATTTCCCTGATCGCTAAGGAGGTTGAGCATGACCTTAAGTGTCTTTTGGCCATTCGAAGTTCATCTGTTGTGAATTCTCTGTTCAGTTCAGTACCCCATTTTTTAATTGGGTTAATTAGAGTTTTAGTGTCTAGTTTCTTGAGTTCTTTGTATATTTTGGAGATCAGACCTTTGTCTGATGAGGGGTTGGTGAAGATCTTCTCCCAGTCCGAAGGTAGCCTTTTTGTCTTACTGACAGTGTCCTTTGCTTTACAGAAGCTTCTCAGTTTCAGGAGGTCCCATTTATTCATTGATTCTCTTATTGTCTGTGCTACTGGGGTCCTACCTAGGAAGTGGTCTTCTGTGCCTATGTCTTGTAGACTACTTCCCACTTTGTCTTCTATCAGGTTCAAAGTGGTCAGATTAATGTTGATGTCTTTAATCCATTTGGACTTGAGTTTTGTGCATGGTGATAGATATGGATCTACTTTCATTCTTCTACAGGTTGACATCCAGTTATGCCAGCACCATTTGTTAAAGATGCGTTCCTTCTTCCATTGTATACCTTTAGCTCCCTTGTAAAAAACAGGTGTTCATAGGTTTGTGGGTTAATATCCGGGTCTTCTATTAGATTCCATAGATCGACTTCTCTGTTCTTATGCCAATACCAAGCTGTTTTCAATACTGTCGCTCTGTAATAGAGTTTGAAGTCAGGGATGGTAACGATCCCATGCTACAGAGTGTGGCCATTTTTCAAAACAAAAATGAATAATATATAACTTTCTTCACATTGTCTGTCCATTCTTTGTGGCTTTTGGTCTCCCACTTCACGTTTCCAAAGTTCCTTGTACATTAAAGGTATTGAAGCTTTACTGTAATATAATTTACTTTTTCCTCTCAGCTTGTGCATTAGACTTCTCCAGAGTAACAGAACTTATAGAATGAAGCCCTCTCTATTTATAGAAAGGGGATTTATTAGAATGACTTAAAGCTGCAGTCCAGCTCATCCAACATTGGCTGCCTATGAACAGAAGGTCCAAGAATCCATAGTTGTTTGGTTCACAAAGCTGAACATATTAACTGGTCTTGAGTATTCACTGGAAGTCTGAAGAAGTGGGCTCTAACGCCTGTGAAGGAATGGACTTGCTAGCAAGGTGAGAACAATCAGGCAAAGAGAGAGAGTAAGCCTCCTTCTTCTGTGTCTCTTTAATAGGTTGCCAGCAGAAGGTGTGACCCAGATTACAGGTGGATCGCTCCACCTCAAAAGATTGGGATTAAAAGTGAGTCTTCCTACTGTAAATGATTTAATTTTAAAAAATCCCTCACAGGTGTACCAAGTCATTTGGGTTTTAATTTCAGATGTAGTCAAATTGACAAGCAAGAATAGTCATGACAGGGCTGGAGAGATGGCTCAGTGGTTAAGAGCATTGCCTGCTCTTCCAAAGGTCCTGAGTTCAAATCCCAGCAACCATATGGTGGCTCACAACCATCTGTAATGAGGTCTGGTGCCCTCTTCTGGCCTGCAGACATACACACAGACAGAATATTGTATACATAATAAAATAAATAAATAAATAAAAAAAAGAATAGTCATGACAGCTTGTCATTTATTTTTCATCCACATTTATCACAGTAGCTGCACACATATATCATATATATGGGTATGCATGGTGGGATATATCATCTATATCAACACACATATATACATACTATTATTATTTCCATTCTAATTATTTACATATGTGTCCATACATACTTCAAAACTGTAGGAGGAGAGGCTACTCATTTGTCCCCAGTCACTTAGCCCTGAAATAATCACACAGAAATTGGATTCATTAA